TGCTTTTGCAGCTCACACACTGATTTGTTCTAAAGGTTTGTTCCAAAAGGGTTGCTGCTGAAGGCATTAAATATTTAAGCCAATGTTCCCACAGGTGAGGCTTGTGAATCTGGATTAAACAGTGTAAACATGTACAGTGATATTCACAAGTGCTGCAAAGGCAAGGGGAGCTCAGTACTTTTGAATAGCAGGCCTTTGAGCTTTGTGGCAAGGGAAATTAAAGTTTCAGATTCTTCAGCAGAGTAAAGACTGAAGCCAGAAAGAAGCCAGTGGTCCTTTGTAAATGTCAAAATAAGGAACCATATATTTAAATACCCCGTAAAAAGCTTATTAGTTTAAGTAGCAAATCACAATAGCAACAGCCACATGAAATAGCTACCAACTTCTAAAAATCTACCTTTACGGCAAAGAGGCATCTTGCAAAAATCCTGTAATTGAGCTCTAAATCTAGCTGCTCATCTGTACTGAGCTCCCAGCCTAGGTCAAACACCTTAGCCCAGCTAAGCCTTTAGACTGAAGTATTTCCAGGTTGAGAAGGCTTCTGGATGGATTGAACTCTGAGGCCGAAATCTGGCTGTGAAGGAATATCCTCACTCATAGAGCTGCAGGGATGCCCATTTTAGATACCTGTACTCATTCTGCCTGTCAGTTTGGGAGGAAATGAAGATGAACATGCTGAATAAATTAGCAGGGTAAAGAGCGATAGGCTCCTGAAATCTACCAGCAGAGACTAATTCTTGCTGCTCAGAGACAAATTTGAGCACTTGGAATCTGACAGATTTAATGGCAAGGTCATTTTAAAAGCAACAGTTGTGGCATGAACGAGTCTCCTAATGTGTTTATACTAAGAACAGGCACAGCAGAGAGGAAAACCACAGGACAGGTAACTGCAGAAGGATGGTTTTACCTACATGTATACTGCAGTCTGAACACTGCCTCCAAGCTACCTTGTACAGCGTAATATTAAAGTGTCCCTCTGGTGGAAAAAGTCACTTTCCAAGAATGACAAATTGGCCGTGCACAAATTTTCTCTTGGTAGCATCCAAGTCATGTTTGTTCAGTTATGCAGTAAAGGCAGGGCTTTTCTCCTACCCTCAGGAATTCAGCTTGAAACCTCAGAGAGCTTTCTGTCTGCCTGGTGCATCATTTGGAATGGCCAACCAAAGGCAGATGTTAACCGTAAGCAAGCACTGATGCTGTTAGCAGGTTTTTGCCTAATATGGAATGGTTTCAGTCTAGCCTGGCTTAGAATGTGAGTAGAAGTTATGGCCATCCAGCAGCTGTTTTGTGCCCCGTAGGATAGGTGTCACATCACAGGAAATCAGTGCAGGCAGCTGCACTCTTGTTGGTCACTCACTCCAAAACAGATACAAGCAAGTAGGCATGGAGTAGAAATTATCTTCTCACACACAGAGATGGTTTCACCAGGTGTCCACAGAGAACTTCACAGAACCACTTCCCCTGCATAATCCTACCCTACTCTTAGAAACCCTAGCAGTCAGTCCCACCCAGTTTCCATTGGCCAGTGCAGGTGTGTCAGACTGGCTGTGTCCATGCACCACTTGGTTAGCTAAAAGAAGCAGTAGGGCCCTACTTAATCCCACCTGTGGCAATTGATTGCAGGCTGATCAATACTTATCTCCAGTTGCCATCCTGATCTTGGACTTGTCTTCTGGTCTTTGATATTGGACTGGTTCCTGGTTCCAGACCTTGGCAGTGATGCCTAATCTTTTGGCCCACCCCTCAGGCTGGATGAATGGTGTGGGGTTGGTCCACAGGCCAGATCCAGTCCATGGGTCTCATCTGCCATGCAGGTCTTGCTCAGTATGTGGTCCCAGCTCTTCATGTTAGATTATGTCCCACACCAGATCATGCCTGTGGCCCTGTGCATAGGACCATGTAATCTGGCCCACAGGGACTAAAAATTTGTTGGGGGAATAGTGGCAGTGTTAATTGCCACCGTTCCTCTGCTGCCAAATTTCTAGACCTGGGGCCAAAGCTGACCCACAGGATGGACTGCCTACTCTTGTGTCTGTTAGAGTGTCCCAGGGGATACAGTGATCTATCAGTTTCCATTGGCTTCATGAGCATTACAGTTACTTTAAAAAAAAATCCTTTAATTTAAAGGATCCCTGCTCCTGCTGCTGCAGTGGTCAGGGTCTCTGTGGTAGGGCAGCATGGGGGGAGGGCAGGGGCTTGCACTGCCTGTACAGTTAGGATCCTGGGGAGTCCCTGCAACAGGCCCAGGGTCTGTGACCCATGCAGCATGCAGCCCCCACTGACTCAGAAGTCACCCTAGGCAATTACCCATTTTCAGAACCTCCCTTATCCTAGCTGACTGACTCACTGGCTTCTGAGACATGTTGATGCTCAGCTTTGGACCTTATTATTATTATTATTATATTGTGTGCTCGCTTTTAGGTAATCAGTCAGAACAGTTTAGTGTATTGAATGCCTGCTAAATAGCAAAACAAAGTCTTCCTTGTGATGATTGCTTGCGCTAGTTGCATTCTTCTGCTGGTGTCTCACAGTGCACCTCTGGTTCATAAAGACTGTGTAGAGGAAAATGAGTAGCAACTCTTTTCCAGATTGCCCTTCCAGTATTTCAAATTGAACAGTCTGTTTCTGACAGGTGTTAGCCTATTTATAGTGTGCATTTATATAACATGAGCTCTTAATTTTTGTCCCCTGAGTTACCATTCAGTGAAGCTCCTGGAGACCTTGGGATCCAAAGAAAATCTAGCATTTTAAGTAACATTCTCAATGTAACTTGTTGTTCTTTTAGGTTACTTATGTGGCCGGTGGGGTTTTGGTTTTTGTTGCTGAATGGTTTTGCTTACCTAACTGATTTCAGCAGGGTAAAAGCTCCCCCTACTTGCAGAAAGAGAACATTACAATTTTTAAGCAATTTAATCCCAGGCATTAAACATGCATTTAGTGTTTTGTAGTCAGGATTTGAAAAGGGCGTGCGCTCATTTTATGCATTTTGTTCTGTTTGTGTGCATTTGCCTCATAATAGAAGAAGATGCTCTTTTGAAAAAGAGAGTAAAGCCTGGAAACTTTTGGAATTTTCTTTGAGGCTGGGATCTTACTCTCTGTGGCAGGGTGGTGTCCGCTTTTATCTGACAGAGGTTAGAGCATTAGGTCTTGTTTTCTGTTTGTTTTGTGCATGCAGGAAAAGAATTGCTGCATTGTCCTGTTAGCTCTCCACTAGGTTTGGCATCTCCATTCGGTGGCAAATGAAGAAGTGGAAACTCCAGTTTCTGACTTACTTTTAAAATGCAAAGTAGACCTTAATGTCTATGAAGTACCTGAGCAGTAGGAGGACTTCTGATCAGATCCACTGAATTCATTCTTGCAAAATAAGGGCTGGAGACCACCTCTTCAAGGCTTATTGAAAGTAAAAGGCTATGCTGAAGAGAGTTTAAAGAAGAGGAACCTCAGGGATTTCATCTCTTAACCTCTGACAGTCTGCTCAGCATGCTCTCACTCTTCTGAAGTTACCTCAGTATTGATTATTCTTACACCACCACAAGTTTAAAAGGATACTGTTCAAAGTATTTTTCATAATTTATGGGCAGAGGGGGAAATAGCTGACTTGCAACTGCATCTTGAGACTTGGATTTCTTTCCACACAGAGCATTTCCCCATCTGTCACTCTCACAAGCTAGTTTGCCACTCCAGGGTGTCTCAGGAATGCTAAACTGCTTGACAGTCTTAAAAAAAAAAAAAAAAAAGAGGGACACACAACCATATGGAAAAATACCACCTCTGAAGAATGGCAAGGAAATTACAAATACGTATCGCACCCCAAAATGATTAGGATAGTTACAGTACTGGAGCAGTCTGTTTGGTCAGTTCCTTAGCCAGGAATGTGGGGGGGACAACTCCCAGGAGCATCTTATTCTGGTGCTGCCCCAAACTTCACCTCCAGGGTTTCCCTCCCCCACCAAATTTCTCCTCAGCTTGGATGCTTTGCAGCTCTCCCTGCCAAAGGGTATTTATCCATGGGGCTCATAAAACCCCTGTTGAGGAGCAATTTCTCTAAACCCTTGAATGCCCCATCTTTGTGGGCATTTTCAGCACATTTTCAATGGTGTTAAGGCTTCACTGTTTGTTCATCTTTGTGAAGCCATCACCTACCACCCATTCCTTCTCAGTGATACCAACCAAATACTTCTAGTTCATCCTTGCCCAAGAGGCAACAGGCTGCTCAGAAGGAGCATGCCTAAGATAAGTTTCTGACAGGCACACTTGTGAGAATCTGCATTGCTGGATGTTCAAATCAAAAGCTCAACCTCAGAAAAAATATAAATGGAAGAGAAAATCGGGTTAGTAAAACTGGCTGTCAGCAAGGCTCTGAATTGTGAGCTAAGCAGATGAACTAGTAGCACTATTAGATTCCTATTTGTTCCTTAAGTCCTGCAGTTTCAAAAAACATATTCTGTGAATTTTGCTAAATGAATCAGAATTCAGTAATAGTGTCATTTAACATTCTCTTTAATGTGTTTGTTCCACTCCATTCCCAAGTATTTTTTATCTCTGCATAATTTGCTGCTGCTGCCACTCTCTCTTGCTTTTATTTTTTGTGATGTGGTGGCATGTAATACCACCAGTCATGTTCAGGACCATGTTGTGGTAGGCACGGCACCTTCACACAGTGAGAGGTAGGGTCTGTCTTGAAGAGCTTACTGTCCAAACAGACAAGCCTGACAGAGAAAATAAAAAGAGGCAAGGGAAGATGCAGTGACTTCTCTAAAGCCTCACAGTAACAGAGCCAGGAACAAAACCTGCGTTTCTTGACTCCCAGCCAGAGTCCTTTCTACCAGATCACAGCATGTTTTAGGTAGGTTATAACTTATGAGTATGAGGATTAATTTGTCTTCGAGTAATTTAATCTATCATACCAAGCTGTTAAATGTCATACTGTACATTGGCCTGTCTTGTCGCAGCTTTTCACTTTTTTACATGTGTACTAATTGTACTTCCACCTCTTTCAGGTTTCCCTTGGCCATGAGTGCACTCGGGCCATCATGAAGCTGGTGTACTGCCCACATTGCCGGGGCATGTCTAGCGTGAAGCCATGCAACAACTACTGCCGTAACGTCATGAAGGGCTGCCTGGCCAATCAGGCTGACTTGGACACCGAGTGGAGGAACCTGATTGGTAAGAAGGTCCAGTTCCCTACTAGTAAAACCACTGAGCATATGGTACCTTCCTTCTTCCCCACTCCCAGGCTCATGGCCACACTTCTGTTTTGGAGGCAGGGCCTGGAGAGTGAAAAAACAGTTGACAAGTTCTTGTTACACTAAACCTTCTCTGTCCTTGATTGTAGAAGGAATTAGAAGTTGTTTCACTCTGTTTAAATGGAAAAGATAGTGGTGTTCCTGCCAGGCTGCCAGCCAAGAGACAGCCTAAAGAGGCAGAAATTAGGGGGTTTGTTAATCAGTATAGCACCATTTGGGTTTATTACTCACACATGGTGGAATGACTCCTGAAGCCTTTTACAGAGGCATTGTCAAGATTAAATTACTGAAATTTGACTCTGATGGTTTCCCTTCTGTCCTGTCGCTTGAGGCTTAGGGCCAGATCATACCACCTTTATTCTGATTGAGTGGTATCACAAGTATCAAGGCTGAACTCTCCCAAGTTGGAGAAGCCTTTGTGATCTTCCAGTGAAAATTGCTGTGGAAGTACAAAGTAACAAAATTGTTTCTACAAGAAGGAGAACCGTGGGGTCAGAATGAGGTATTCTTAACCTGACAATGTTCCTTTTATTTGGGTTTTTTTAAGTGGAGTAGAGTAGGGTGCTTGGGTCAATCAAACTTGTATTCTAAGGAAGCGTGATTTGCTTTATATTTAAATATCGATGTCAAGGGAAGCGTAGCAGAAAACAAACTTCAGGAACCTAGCAAACCACCTGTTCAACATGAAAACTAAGAGACTAAGTAAGGGGAGAACCTGCATTTTTATCCATTACTTTGTGGAGCTGACAAGTCTGTTTGTGACAAAGGAAGTATGCATATTCTCCCAGCTGCCAGCAGAGGGTTCAGGATTGAGAGTATGGTCGGGGATAGAAAGGTAAGAAAGGTTTATTGACTTAACAAAAGCACGACTACGCACAGATAACAAAACAACAGACAGACAATAATAATTCACATTGGCAACTTATCGGCAGTCCCCTCTGATGCCTGATGTACAACAAGTTTCTCTTTCCACAAAGCTCAGCGAAGTCAGGCGTCCCCGATCAGCACTGACTGAGGGGTACTGGGAAGGACCTTGGGCTCCTCGAGGTCCATGGGCCCACTCATCCAGGCCAGCAGGTAATCTTAAATCAGTACTTCTTTCACAGAGCCACATCTTCCTTCTAAATGATTTCCAAATGTGCCAGCCAATTTATAATTTCTGAGCTGTGCTGATAAATTACAGCCATTCAGATTCTTTTTATTCAACTGTCCTTAGACTGACCAATAGCAGTACAAGCCTTGCATTCTTTTGATAAAGTTAATTTTAACTATGCCACAGGGCCTTACTACTTCAAGGCTTTGCTAAATTTACTAGGCCTTACTTTATACAGGGCTTTACTACATCTTTGACTTTAATTAGGCTCTTAGCAACAACATATAGCTTAATATCTAAACAAATTACAGAAAAACACTTGGTCTAATCTTCATAGAGCCTTCAGGAAGTATCTTATCACACAGACATAATTTTCAGCTGTCACAGCATATGTAGTGGCTCATAGATTTTAATGCCAGGAATGACCATTATGGTCATCGAGTCTCATTTCTTGCATAACTTGAACTGCAGAATTTCACCCAATCATTAGGCTTCTCGCCAACCCACAGTGTCTCTTAATAATATACTTAGGATATCTTTATATATGTTAGTGTAAGAGTGATGTTGTAGCTATGATGCTCCAGAAATTAGGTGCGTGGCAAGGATTTCTTGCAGTTCTTGTAGTTGAGATAAATTTAGACAAGCTTTCAGATAATTTGTATTTCTAGAGGGCCTGTGATGAAACATATATTAGGAGAGTTTGGAGAAGTGAGAGTATACAGGAGAAACTGAAAGCTGTGTTTCACATGGCAGTGGAAGCAATAAAGCCCTGCAGGGGTCAGAGAACCCCCTGCTGTTCTTAATTGACCTTCACAAATAGGCCCAAGGACAGCAGCTGCAGGTAAACTAGCTGATTACACGTAAGTGGTCAGAGTAGTGAATGAGCATGGAGCAAGTGCATCTAAGAGATTTTTATTTTCTGTGCAACTGGTTTGTCACCAGGGAAATGAAATGTAATGGTGATAGATGGAGGGTTATAGACAATGTGACCATAATAATAAATACCCACAAATTGGAATTCAGGCTTTTTTAACAGTCCATTAGCTAAACAGTTATTTCAAAATAAATTTTTATTTTATTTTATTTTATTTCAAAAACACTTTAATATTGGTACAGACTGGCCTTAATGCTCTAAATTAGATGTGAATGAAAAGATAATGTGTGCTTGTTGTGTCACCTCCACCATGGGTTACTATACTGTGCCCATTATGCACACCACTGGAAAGCCAGAAAGCATCTTTGTGCAGAATGGCCTAGACTGGTTTACTAATGATATTCTCCCCCTGTGCTCTGCAATTGATCCTAGGTGTGATCATCTTGCCTTGAAAAAGTCCTGGTTGATTTGGGTTCTTGTTACCTAAGGACCCTATTACTTCTACTTCTGGTTACCTCTCTCCTGGTATTTGGAAGCAGCTGAATCTACAAACTATTAGATGTAATAGTTAAGAAACCAGCAGCAAAAGGACTGAAGTAACATAGACTATGGATGTCATAGCAGAAGGGCCTTATTTATTGAACTTCAGGACCTAACATAAGGCCTAGGAGACTGTTTTTAAAATAAATTCTCCCTGTATGTGTGCAGCAAGAGAGCTCTTCTTCCTGACAGGCCGCTTTCTCCCAGGAAAATAATTTTCATGGTAATTCTGCTTCTCTGAAAAGTAAGATTCTCACTGCCTGGTCTTATGCCTACAAAACATCACACTAAAAACTCCCTTCACACGCAAAACTTTTTTAACCTGAGGTACTCATAAGTCAGTCTGACAGTGAGAGCTCTGCCCAACAGCACATCCTTCAGAAGCCCTATTTTAGCTAGCTCCCTTCAAGAAAAGCAGGTCAGAGTTCTCCTGACTCCTCACACAAGAGAGAAATAAAATTGTTTTTTTCCTTCAAATATACAGAACTGAGCCAGTCATTCTAGTAGGTAACTATATCCTGACAGTGCAGCCAAAGGACTTAATGAGAAGTACCCTAGGTACCTCCAGCTTGAAGGACACTTGATAGTCTAGTAGGGTGGTAGCCCTGGTATGGCTGTGATGTTCATGGAATATGCAAGGAACATTTTGTGCCCAGAAGTTTGGATAGCATCTCTCCCAACTATGTAACTGGTCTAATGAAAGATACTGTGTAGTCTGACAGCTTGGTTTGCTTTGACAGAATAGAGCGATGTCTTCAGTGACTCCTTCCTCCATTGACAGGTTGAGTTCTGTGGTGACTTGAGGCCTGATGATGTCCTGTGACTGGCCTGAGTTCAGACATATGGGTCAGAGGTTCAGAGAAGGCTTATGGCCTTCCTTTGACTATTTCACTGTTAGGCCACGCTGTTGTTTTTGTGGTTTTGAATAGACTCCTTTTGCAGCTGGGTCACTTGAGCTCAATGGTTCCTCAAATACCGCAATATGACTATGTGAAGCCATCAGTTATATTACCTACAGAGGCACCACATTTCTGGTTTTCTGTTTGGTGGAAAAGTCTTAGAATGCTTGTAATGTGTCTGTACAGTTCAGCCACATCATGGCAGTATTCTGGTATATAACTATAGAGTCTTCATTTTAGTTGCTCATGGGTTCTCAGCATCTTAATTCGTATGCAAACTGATTTTAATTACTGCTAGCTTTGGCTTTGGTGCCCTGAGGTCAACATGGAGTCCCAGGTGACTGTGAGACCTCACAAAGCTGTAAGAGCCGTAGTTAATGGGTTTTTTTGGCAATGTGCTTTAAACTTTCTGCTTTCAACAAGATTCAACTCTCCTGTTTGTAGTTAAATTATAAAAAATCTATTTAAAATAGCATGATGAGTCTTGCCTACATCTACAAGAAGCAAGGAGTACGCAGTTCAATCTGACAGTCTCTGCATAGGTCATGCTGTCATGCTTGGGCACCCAACTCCTCTTTGGGACCCTCTAGTTACCATCTCTCTCTGCTTTCTGAACATATGGGGAGTTGCCTACATGCTAAGATTTTGCTCCTGCAGTGAATGCTGCTTACTTGGACCACTGTCCGGAGTTTCATTTTTCCTGCAGATCTAGGGGGCTTCCCACACACTCTCTGAGCTTCTGGACTTGTAACAAAATAGGGCAAGTTAGAGAAGTAAAGGTCTTTGTTATCCATCGTGGTTCCACCTTGGGGGTCCACTGGTGTAGCATACTTTGTGCTTTTGTGATTAAGATCTTTCCTATAATCTTTGAATGTTGAAATTATAGGATTATTTTATAATTATATGTTGAAAATATAAGATATTGCAACACAAATTAACTGGACTTTTACTTCCTTCTTTTCACAATACAGAGCTGTATTTCTTTTAGAACTCTCCAGCAAGTGTCCTAGTGTAACAATTCAGCTGTCATCCTACTCGGTATGCCTGGATTTTTTTTAATATAAAACTCTGTCAAAGCCAATAGATTGTGTCTTCTCATTTCAGGAGGGTGCTGCAGAGTAAACATACTGCAGACTGAGGCACTTGTTACATGTGTTGATCAGCCAGCTGCTATCCTTGTTGCATATTAGCTTTCATGTCTAATGAACTGAACGGGAGGTTACCACAACTCAGTGGAAATGTGTCCCATGAGAATGTTTAGTGAATCTGGTTAAAGGGCAGGAGGGAGGAAAGCCCTCTATTTCATGAGATTGAACCCTGAGTTTGATCATGCATTGGTCTTTCTAACAATAAGAAACCAGTTGTTACCTGTCATTGCTTTCCATCTCATCTTGGCAGAATGATCAGCTGCCACTCTTGAAAGGTCAGCATGCAAGTCTGATTGATTGATAGAGGCATTTCTGTATGCATTCTGCATTTCGTCCAGGTTCTTTTTGCCCAAGAGACACTGTTTCTGACAGAAGCCAACCATTAGGAGTAAATCAGATCTGTATTCAAATTATACTTGCACACTGGAATGTCAAAGGTCATCATTCAAACAAGTCCCATAGCAAGGTCATTAAACCAAGGGTGGAAATTCACTAAGACTCTGCATCCATTGTTTCTAGTTAGAAATGAGCCAGGATCCTGGTTTTCTCTGTTTAAAAATCACCAACTCTCTGATTACCCCCCCTCCCCCCCAAATCCACACTTTTCCGTGATTAAAATAAAATGCCACTATATATATAGGTATCACATGAACACAATGTTTTATTGATATGCTTACAATTTTAAAGTAATTTGGAAACCAATCAGTGCCTCAATCACTATACTAAAATAAATTCTAAATACTTATATATTATGGCATTTGATTTTTGGTTATTTATCATTGAAAATCAGTGGTCCCCATGCCCCCTTTGCACACCAGGACCCACAGCTCCCCAGCCCCCTGACGCCCCTCACTCCCTACCCCCCCATCCCTCTGGTGCCCCTCACTCCCCACCCACAGCCCCCTGGGCTCAACTGGTGCCCCTCACTCCCCATGCACAGGCCCCTGGGCCTCCCAGTGCTTCACACTCCTGACTCACAGCCCCCCCACAGACTTGCTGGCACCTCTCACTCCCAATCCGCAGCCCCCTGGGTCCTGCCAGTGCCCTTCACTCCCCACCCAAACTCCCCTGGGCTGTGCTGGTGCCCCTCACTCCCCAGCTACAGCTCCCCAGCCCTGCTGGTGCCCCTCACTCTCGACATGCAGCCCCCTGCTCCCCCCAGCTCTGCCAGTGCTGTGCACTCCCAGCCCGCAGTCCCCTGCTGTCTCCCAGGCCTGCTGCCCACACAGCTTATGCGCACACTCACTCTCTCACCTGCCAGCAGCTGCCGGAGCTTGCACACAGAACACATGATCTCCCGACAGCCAATCAACTTTCCCCCATTGCCCCCATCCCCAAGCAAAAGCAGAAGCAAAACAGAAACCCAGACATTTGCTTGCATTTTAAAAACCCGCCCGGACGGAGGACAAGGCGTCAAAAAAGAGGATATGTCCAGGAAAACCTGGATGTATGGTAACCATACCCCTCACTCCCCATCCGCATCCCCCTGAGCCTTGCTGGCACCCCTTACTCCCCACCTACAGCCCCCTTCCTCCCCACAGCCCTGCCAGAGGGGGCCCCCAGCTGCCAAAGGTGCGGGGTCAGGGACCCAGGTTTGCAGCACCTGAACCCTGGCAGCCACCCATGGGAGGCAGTAGAGTGTGGAGCCTGGCTCCCCCTCCTCTGTGGGTGGCATGGCCAGAATGGAGCCTGGGGGGTGGGTGCAGATGTGGGCTGCCTGCTGCAGGGCTTTCCTGCCCTGCTGCCCACCCCCTGGGGCATCTGCAGCCTGGCAGATGGGACCCAGCACAGCAGAGCAGAGCTGGGGGAGAAGCTCGGTGCTGGTGCCAGGAGCCCTGCACCACCAGGATGAGGCATCCCCTGTTCACTCAGCATCAGTAAAGGGCACAATTCCACTCTGCCACCCCGATGTTGCTGGGCAGGTCAGAGGTGCCTCGCCAGGGAGGTGCAGAGCTCCCAGCAGCAGCACTGAGCTTCCCTGCCCTGCTCAGCCCTGCTGCACCAGCTTCCACCCACCAGGTTTTGGAGGCCCAGGGGGAGGGCAGCAGTGTGGGGGGCCTGAGCCTGCAGTGGGCAGCCCACCCCTGCCCTGGACACAAGTCTGGGGGGCACTTGCCCCCCATGCCTTCCCCAGGAATGCGCACAGTGGTGGGGAGCCAGCCTTCCCCACCGCCCCATGGACAAGCCATGTGCAGCTCCATCCTACTCCCACCCGAGCCCTGCAGCCACGCATTCTGGCCCCAAGCCTCATATGCTGCCCAGGCTGCCAGGCCCAGCCCCAGCCTTGCCTAACTTCCTCCCTCCCTCACTATGGGAACCTCAGTTTCTCTCAGTTTCCCCCTTCCCTCTGCCCCTGCGTCTGCTAAGCTTGCCTGTGGAGAGCTACTCTCCAGGCTGCTTGGCTGCCATGTGCATATGTACATGCACACGGCGCCTCCGGCCTGATTGGTCACCGCCCCCCTTCTGACCCCCCCAACTCCTTGCAAGCTGGAACTCTGCCAGCCTGCAAGGGGAAACTCACTGTTTTCTGCATTTTTCTCCTTTATAGGAGAAAATATGGGTTTTTCTCCTTAAAAAGAGAAAATCCAGGTTTTACTGCATTTTCCCTTGGCAAGTGGAAAATCCAGATCCCTGGAGAGGAGTTTTTAATGATGTTGACATGGCTACAGTGTTTATTTTGGCAAATAAGATTAGGGCAAATAGAGGGAGATATGCTAAGACTAACTAATGGATTGAATATTGTCAAACATTCTTGAAATCCCCTTTCATTTACTGATATGTATCATATCCTCAGTACATCCTCAAGCTAAAATACATGAAAAAACGGTTCTGGAAAGTGTGTTACTATTTTTTAATGGTAGCAGTTAAACAGCAGACTTGTAGTATTGTGGGATTTTTTTTCAGAATATGAAGAGGCAGTTACACTGTTGTGTGACATGTTTAACATTTTAAAATGAAGCAGTCATAAGGCTTTATTACACACACACACACACACACACACACACACACAAAAGCTTTTTAACTTGGAAACTGCATACTTATTCTGTTCTTGTTCAAATTAAACAGCAAACCATTTTTTATTTTAATTTGATGAAAATAAGTAATAAATGCTTCAAGGCTGTGACTTTTATATGCTGCTAAATTCCATACTAAAGGCCTGCACAAGAAGCTGTTTGTTAACCTTGGCTAAGAGTAGAGCACATCTTATTTTGATTACTCTAACTTCACCCAGATCCACTTTGAGATCTGGCCCCTAATGCAGTTCGGGATCCCTGATTGGCTTCTAAGAGCTACTACAATATAAACAGTCAGATTTTTGGAGACTGAAAGAGCCTCAATAAAAGACCATTTAAATCACTGGGAGTCTTTCCATTAACTTAATTGGGTTTTGCACTGAAACTAAAATGATTTCTAAAAAGCGTATTACATGCTGTTCTACCTGTTCTTTTCTGAGTGCAACTGTAGTGGTTAATGTTCTAAAATGTAGTACAGAGAAATAAATACTTGTCAATCATGTAGACCATTATAGCTGTCACCAAAGTGATAGAAACAGGGCGCATGCACACATGCCCGTACAACGCTGTTGTTACTGCGCTGTCACTTCGTACTTTCTTAGTCATTTAGTACTTCCTTTTGTTACTGCACCATAGCACCTTGCTCACAGACAACTTGATGGTATAGTGTGATGTAGAAGTTTGACTGGCACTTGGTGAGCTGACCTGCATAATTTGCTTTTAGCTTCATTGTTCATGAATAATGCTGGCAGCCCAGATTCCCGCTGAGTAAGTCTTTACATCACATCACACCATCTTCTGCGAGACCTCCAATGCCGTGTTGCTGTGAGTAAGAACTGAGAGAGAATTGCTTAGTCCCAGTGGAGGAAATTATAGCTTTTTTGGGTAAGAGCCTCAGAATATCCCCCTCTCCGTACTGGAAAGAGCAATAACAACTTGTAGCAGGCAGGTCATCAGGGAGTCCAAATATGTTATGTTTTAAAATGGGAGCTACCATTGTGTTTTGGGAATATAATAGGTGAGCCCTGAGAATGTCTACTGGACTGAGTACCTCAGGGGATGTAGATGACAGAACATCTCCTTTCTGCCCCCATTTGGCTTACATATGAGCTTCCTGAGCTGCTCAGTCCTGTTAAAACTGTTATGCTTTTGGTCCCCAGAGAACATACATGCAAAAAGCAGTGTCACCCCTGGAGGTTTCAGTACCTCTGGGTTTAGACAGCAGCTGAGAACAGATTTTCAAGGTTGTAATTTTAGGCGTACCCACCTGGATTTTGTCTACATCCCACTTTTAAGTGCCTGAAACCATGTTTGGATGTGGCCCTGAGATCTTGGTTGTGTTAAATCTCCCTAGGCATTAAGCACATCAGCCTGGATGGACACAGTTTCCTTATCCTCTTTTGCAATGAATGCTTAGAAAATTTCCTTCCATCTTAAGTCTCCATTCCAAAACTAATTGTATTGCTGAAAAACTTGGCTTATTACATTTTGTCAGCAAAATGCACCATGCCTAAGGCACATGCTTAGTAAGTAACTTCTTGAAGAGGGCCAAATGCTGTTCTGTTCCTGAGTCTCATCAACACTGGACCTTGCAAACCTCAGCAGTCAGTGAGAGTTGAGAACAGTTGGCACCTTTCACCCACCCTACATTTCCTTTTTCCAGGTTAGGTGCATTCCTTTTGCTCTACTACTCTGGATTTGGCACTGACAGTTCCCTTATGAGCCATGTTTTGCTTTGTCAGATCTGTCCTGTCCTAAGTGGTATGTAGGAAATTTTCACTAGGAGCAATTTTTTATTCTCCTTCCTTGGCATACCAGACACCTGTTCCATTACCCCTCTATTGGCATTTTTGCTAAATCTAGCATCTCCAATTCCCTGTACAGTACAGCCCTTTATTAAAACTTGAATGCAAGGTAGTAAGGGTTAGATCCCAGGATGCTGTTTCCAATTTATGCACAGATTTCCCTCTCTGTACCTTGCCAGGGGTCTCTTGTCATTCTGTATTGCCAGTCTGCAAAGAGAGTTTGTTGCAGCTATTTCTTTCTCATGTCTTAAAGGGGTTTCTATAGTTCATCTTGTTCAAATGGCACTAAGGGTGTTTTACCGGTGCACTATTGGATAGAAGAGGCCTATCTGAATGCTGCCAGATTACAAGGGAAAGGGAGACTGTTTTTTCCAAAGGCATGTGTACTTTCAGCAAACATCTGGAAGATATCCTTCAACAGTCTCATCTACTGAGAGAAAAATATCTGATTCCATCAGTATGACGATATATAAATTTGAAGCACCATTATCCTTTGATTTGTAAAGTGTACGCTTAAAAGATGTCTCTGTCGTCTTCTGCTAGATTCAATGCTGCTGGTGGCTGATCGATTTGATGGACCATCCAACGTAGACACTGTAATTGGTACCATTCACACAAGGATCTCAGAAGCCATTTCTAACATGCAGGAAAACAAAGACTCTATCACAGCCAAGGTAAGAGTTAATACTGGGCCTAGCATTGGAAATGCAGTGTACATTATATCCTGGCAACAGCCAAGCACGTTGTCTACCAGCTATTCAGCTGATTTCACCTACAAGTCAGAGAAAGAGAGATGTTAAATGCCCATGTTATAATGATAAAAAACACATTCATTCCATGCAGGCAATCCTTCTCAAATGCTTCTGTTTGCTATGTGCACTTCTCCCCACTTCCAGCTATCAACTTTGATATGTACAGACTATATATAATATGATGAGGATTTTTTAATTACTAAGGGATACATGGGGACATTGTATTATGGTGCTTCAATGTCTGTGGCTGAAGTGCTTTAGTTATTCTCTCTCATCTGAGGTATTTGCAGTGAGCTTATTACAGCGAATGTAAGGGACTCTTTATGCTATACAGAAGGCTAATGCTTTCAGCAGGCAAAGGGAATATCAAAATATGGAAACATTTGGCTTATTAGGTTATATAGGTACAGAGTTGTTATCTGGCAGTCATCCTGTGATACAGGCTCTCCCAGTGCTCAGTCTCAAATGAGCCATATTTTGGCATGCTGTTTCATTGTTCTCTATTTTAAAACATTTAACCCACTAATTACAAGCACATGATGTGGCTGCAGGTGCGAGGAGCTTTGGCAAAGAGAAAAACCCTCCAGGGCATCTCCTTTTTGCATTAACATTTTGCTAGTTCTCAGCAGGGTGGAGCTATGGCAAAGATGTAAACAGTGGGGCATGACAAGCACCAAGTAGTTCTTGGGGAAAAGCAAGCCCAGCAAAAGTCCACTGAAAAATGGAATAGGAGGAGGGAAAAGCCGTGTAAGCAGTTGTTTAAGTTGAAACAAATGTTAGAAAATAAATCCCAGGGAGATGCAACCTCTTCTAAACATCAAGGTCTTCACAAGGTCCCTGTGGTAAATATAGGACTCAAGAGGTGAAATACTCTGTTCCAAGCAGCATTAGACTAGAACAGCAAGATTCATTCTGCAAACTTCCAAATTTGGTCTTGCAACAAGGTGGACATGATTTCATTTGCCAGTGGATCTGCATAGCACAGGTTGGGAGCTGGCAAAGTGCTGAAATTACGAACATGAGCAGTAGAAGAAAACCTGGAAAGGCCTATCTGGGAAATGATTCTTAAGTGTCTCACCATTTCCGTTGCTACTTCAATCTCTGAACAAAGTTTAAAATCACTGGAAAAAAAATCTGATCACATCTGGTTTGTTTCCACACATGGCATTCTCCTAAAGTGGTTAATTGTGAAACAGCAGCCAAGACTCTTGAATTAATGCCAGTCATGAAGCTTTGCAACCACTAGCAATTGATCAGCTGCAGCAAAGGCTTTTTTTAAACCTTCAAGAGTGAGTAGTCAATACATTTGTTTTCTTACCCACAAAGAGAAGGAAATGCATGGAAATAGGTCCATGAATTAATTTATATTTCCAGGCAAAGGGCAGCTGTTATGCAGCATGAAGTGGGCCGTGGTATTTCTTGCGTGTGTGGAAATAACATGGCGCTATGTTCACTTTGCACTAAATAAGTCTTGTTCTGGAACATGAGTTCTCAACTTACTGCAGGCTGAATGATGGATGATAGAGTCTTCACATGTGACCATTGTGGGCCCAGTTCTGATGTCCAGGAGGACTTTGCCACTGATGGCACTGGAAGCAGAGTTAGGCATACCTGAAAAATCTCAGCCTTGAAGGGGTACAGTCGGTTGTTCATGGGACGAGCCAAAGGCAGTCTGCAGATCTGGAAAAGCCAGCAGCCGTGATCTCCTACAATGTAGGAGGGTAAAAAGGAAAGATTTTGAAACCAAGCCCATCACCATCTTGATTCTTTTCTCCATCTCCCTTCATAGAAAATGCTTGGCTGTGTATTGATCTGTTCCCAGCTCTACTATTCACTCGTTACTGCTAAGATACGGATTTCAGACAGTATAAACAATCAAAGCCTGTAAATTGCTATTTGCCTACATAATAAAGGGAGCCTATTGATTCACTTATTAGTCAATAAGGAATGTGTTCTCTAACAATAATGGGGGTTGTTCAGATATAACCTCTGCTTCAGTTATATGAAGCTCTGCCATATACTTTGAGAGGTTTTGCTCAAAATGAGACATCCCCCTCCTTCTTCCCCACCTTTTCCTTTTTGTCCCCCCAATGCATGCTCAGCTGTCTCTGAGCTCCAGTGTCAGCTGAGTGCACTAGGAAGTGGGAGAGAGGTGTGGAGCACTGCATGAGGATCTCGCTGCATGTGGAGCTTGCTAGCACCATGACCAAAAGAGACATGGGGGTCATGATTGACTACAAGATAAATATGAGCCACCAGTGTGATACCACAGCTGGCAAAGTGAACAAAACTCTGGCTTGCATCTACCGATGCATCTCAAGCAAGACCCAGGATGTCATCCTTCAGCTGTACTCGGCCTTAGTGAGGCCCCAGCTGGAGTACTGCATCCAGTTCGGGGCTGCACAATTCAGGAAGGACATGGAGAAGCTTGAAAGAGTATAGAGGAGAGCCAAGTGCATGATCAGAGGGCAAGAGAACAGGCCTTATGAAGAGACATTGTGAGCTATGGGACTCTTCAACCTGGAGAATGCAGGCTCAGGGGTGACTTGGTGGCAGCCTATAAGTACATAAGGGGTGTGGCATCAGGATCTGGGGGAATGCCTGTTCACCAGAGCACTCAAAGGGAAGACAAGGTCCAACAGGCACAAACTCCTGTAAGACCTTTTTAGACTGGACATAAGGAAAAACTTCTTTACTGTCCGAGCCCCCAAGGCCTGGAACAGATTCCCCCCAGAGGTGGTGTAAGCATCTACTCTGGACACTTTCACGAAACATTTGGACGTTTATCTTGCTGAGATCCTTTGACCCTAGCTGACTTCCTGCCCCTTGGGCAGGGGGCTGGACCCAATGATCTTACAAAGTCCCTTCCAGCCCTAATGTCTATAAAATGAGGCCAGGGAATTAGCAGCCCCCTATTGTGCCCCCTGGCTGTACATGTGGTCACACTAGGCACTGCATAGCAGCTGTGTTGACCATTACCTCCCACCAAGATGCCTAAATAGATCTGGCTGCCTCTATGTATGGCTCTCGTCCTCTCTTCCTGCCATGTTCCTGTTGTTCTATTGTATAAAAGGTAGGTTTATAAAGATTACTTCAGGGTATCATTAGGTGCCATCCAAAGCTTGTACTATTAAGCCAGACTCCACTTCCCTGGAAAGCAACTTCATGAAATAGGTTCCTCTCCATTGTAGAAAATGACACCAAATCAGGTGTCAGTTACAACAGTTCAGCCCCTTTGACTTCTAAATGATTGCCCTGTTGTAATGCAGAGCAGAACCTGACACGTATAGAAGAGCACTGGAGAGAATTATCCACAGCATCATTTCTCAAACTTCATTCTTTAACAACCCACCATGGGTGATGTTAACAGCAGAGTAATTTGTGTTCCTGAACCCTGGCTGCCTTCCCCGTGACTCTGAAGTGCTGTGACTAACACGTTCTGATGGAAAATGAGTCTAAAGCTGCCTGGCAAATAGATAAGTCAAATGACAGGCTGAACAGAGATGGATAGAACATACTAGTGCAGCACAAAATGCAGTACTAATATCGCATAGAAATAGAGTCATCAATTACAATAAGGAAAAGGGGAAGAATGAATGGATCTATAAATGCCATGAAGTATTTTTCATTATTCTTGTATGTTTTTATATCCCAGAAAGAATTGTTTCATAATAACTACAGTACGAGGACTATAAATGGTAAACTACAGCAGTGAAAGCAGGTTCCTATTGTCGTGGAAACACACGCAGCATACTTTTGGGTCAGGTCAGCAGAAGCTTTTATTCAAAAGAAACTACAGCTGTAGGGGGGATTCCAAAGTGACATGGATTTCCCAAGCACTTGGAAAGGGTCCCCCCCCAAGAGCAAAATCAGGAGGCTTATATACTTTTTAACAGTTGCTTA